CGGACAATTACCCCCCGGACAATTACCCCCCGGACAATTACCCCCCGTGCGTGCGTGTGTGCGTGTGCAGGTACACGTGTGTGCATGTGTGCGTGCGTGCGTACGTGCGTGTGTGTGCAGGTACACGTGCGTGCGTGCGTGCATGCATGTGCACGTAGACGTGCGTGCGTGCGTGTGCACGTACACGTGCGTGCATGCGTCCGTGCGTGCGTGTGCACGTACACGTGCGTGCATGAGTGTGTGCGTGCGTGTGCACGTACACCTGCGTACGTGCGTGCGTGTACCGCTATTACATGACATGACATACTAAACATGAAACATCGCTATTATGTATGAACAAGTAGGCCTACAGTATCATTGAACAACTCTGATTGGCTGATGAATTGTACAATCGGGCGATGTTATCGCCGGCCGCGGACACACTAGGCGATGAAATCGGGTGATGAAATCGGGCGATGAAATCGGGCGATAATATCAAAACGTTTTGATCTATGCGATGACATCGGGCGATGAAATCGGCAGGGATTGAGTGGACACACTAGGCGATTTCACGGCGATTACATCGCCCGATGTAATCGCCTGGTGTGTCCGGCCCTTTAGGGTTATGGTTACAGGTTAGGGTTAGGGGTTAGGGTTAGGGTTGTTCTCAAACTCCACGACAAATGGCGCTCTCGCTCTGGCTCAATTTTACCACTGCCACAAGCTGATTTCCGTATGAATTTCTTACGCTTTTTTACTATAAGTTTTACAGCGGCCAGGTTACTCGTATCCTATGTGTCAGGTCCGAGTCTCAGCTAGGACCTGCTTCTATGGTGGACACCGTAGTGTTATGTTATTTCAGTTGGCCGTGGCAAACTTTCATTGGTCGTATTAAGTAAAATGGCTTCGGGCAGAGTGTGAGGAATGGATATAAAAGCGCGACGAGGTGACGTGGCGAGGTGGACTTATGGTTATAAGTGTGTGTTTTTGTCATTAATGGTGTTATTTGGGTGTCATGTTGTTGAGTGTGTATGTGTAGGAAATTGCGTTAAATCTGACAGAGGTTGTAAACATGGAGCAGTTGAGCACAGCTAGATATCAGCTTGTCAAGAAAATGAGCACTGAATATTTGAAAGCAAAATTAGTTGAGTCGGGGCTCAGATTGGAGCAATTAGAGGAGTTTGGGCGTGACCAGCTGATGGAGATGTATGCTCAGCTGATCCATGTACAGTCAGAGGAAGGGGGTGCCGTTCCAAAGATGGATAAACCTAGTCCTACGGCCTCAGTCGAACGTGATGATGAGTCGCCTAGAGGAGACGGGGCAATTTATGCGTTAGTTGAGCAGCTGAGAGAAGATAGGAGGTTTGAGAGGGAAAGGTGGGAAGACGAATGTCGGTTTCGTGCAGAGGAGAAAGAACAGCAGTTGAGAGAGAGACGGGATAGAGAGAATAGCTTTTGAGTTTTTGACCAAGAGGTATGGCGAAATCTTGAAGTATGTGTTACCGACGTTTCCTGACGAGCCGGGTAAAATTCCCATGTTTTTCGAGACAGTAGATAGCTTGTTTGAATGCCATGCCGTGCCTAAGCAGATTCGTGCTGCGTTGTTTCACCCGTGTTTGTCGAGTAAGGCTAGAAGTTACACGTCTCGCATGACGTCAGCGCAGCTCACAGACTACAAACAGTTAAAAGCCTTACTGTTAAAGGAATTTAGGTTCACGCCGGTTCAGTATAAGCAGCGTTTTTCCGTCGCCAGTAAGCAGGTAGACGAGTCATGGAGACAATTTGCTTCTAGGTTGACCGGTTTGTTCGGGTTTTACACGAAGAGTCGTGGAGTTAATTGCTGGTAGCTATGACCAGTTGGTTCAGCTGTTAATTGCGGATAGGCTAAAAGAGGCACTGCCGGTTGGTATTAGGTCTCATGTGTTGGCAAAGGAAGGTGAATCTTGGTTTTTGCCGGATAAAATTGTCGAGTTAGCTGATACGTTTGCTCAGAACGAGTTGTTACTTCCCGGTAAAATGAGTCGGTATGATTTTAACGGGTCTAGACAAGGCTCGAGTGAGAATGGCGGGAATTTCAAGCCGCATAGCAGAGCTTTGGGCGGTCGCGCGTCACCGCAGTTTGTGCAGAGCAGAAGGGGTAACACTGGTAGTGTGGTTAGAGGGGAGAAGGCTGATTACACTAGGTTGAAGTGTAGTTATTGCGGGAAGACCGGACACGGTTGGAGATTTTGTTTTAAAAAGGAGAGAGAGAAGGGGACAGGCTGAGGGAGAGAGAGAACCCGCTCGTGGCTTTGTTAGTGTCTCTGTTAGAAGTGTAGCGGAATCTCGTGATTCGCAGGTTACTCGTGATGCAGCGAGTCACAGAAAAGAAGCCGATGAGACGGCTAGTAACCTGGTTGCCAAAGTCACACTCAACTCCGCAGACGTAGCATGCGCGTTGGCTGAGTCGGAATCGTGTGTTAGAGAATGTAAGAGTAAACCCAATTTCAAGGGCGCTCGTGCGCGATCCACGTTGTCGTACGTTTATGTTCAGGTAGGCGGCTCGAGAGTAAAATGTCTTATAGACACGGGGGCGCAGGTCTGTGTCGTTAGACGGTCAGTTCCGCTTCAAGGATTAGCTGAGCACGTGGGCGAGGTTACGCTGGAGGGAGCGTTTGGTCAACAGGTGAAAGCAGAGTTATGTAATATCCCGGTATGTTTGGCCAATGCAGAACACACTGATCCTCTCACAGTCGTGTGTGCCGTAACTGATAAACTGTCACGTGGACTAGATATGATTTTGTCGGGAGAGGTATATCAAGAGTTGCTTAGTCGCGTAGTTTCTACTTGTGACGCGGGCGAGTGCAGCATTGCGTCTTTGATGTGTGAGGCTATGGGCGACGGGAAGCTTGTGCAAGCTGATCATGCACAAAGCGATTCACTGAGTAAGGGCCATGACGCATTGTCTTCCACTGCGGTAGAGACGGTAGGGGGTGGAGATTTGCTAGAGTTAGATAGCGAAGCTCGTATGAGCGCATGCGAATATTTGCGTCGACAGCAGGAGCTTGATAGCAGTTTGACGAATGCATGGAAGCTAGCGAGACAGGCGAAGGGTAACTTTGCTGTGTTTTCTCGCTTGTTGTACCATAAACACAAGGTGTTGGATCAGTCCGTCTGGCAGTTGGTACTACCTGAATGTCGTAGGGAGGCAGTAGTTAAGCTGGCTCATGATGGTGTATGGGGTGCGCATTTGGGCGCACGGAAGACAAAAGAAAGGATAATGTACACCATCTACTGGCCGACGATCGCGGCTGATGTCAGGAGGTATTGTACGGAGTGCATCAGTTGTCAGTCGCGGCGTCGAGTCACATGGGCGGACAGGGTACCGATTACCCCGATCTCACGGCCGGATATACCCTTTCAGGTGCTGAACATAGATTGTATCGGGCCGATAGATCCTCCGTCGGGAAGGGGGCACAGATATGTGCTTACTATGGTTGACCAATGTACCAAGTGGGTAGAGGCAGTTCCACTCAGGTCGCTAACGGCAAAAGCTACTGTCGATGCGCTGTTAGAAGTGTTTACTAGGGTATTCCACAGGTTATTGCTTCGGATCAGGGTTCAAACTTTACTGCGCAACTTACTAGAGAGATGTTGCAGAGGTTAGGGGTCGCCTCACGGTTTTCCACTCCCGGGCATCCGGAGGCTAATGGATTAGTTGAGAGGTGGAATGGGATTATAAAGTCGATGTTGCACCACGTGATCAGAGAGGATTCAAAAGAGTGGGATAGACAGCTCCCATTTCTGTTATGGGCTTACAGGGAAGTGCCTAATGCGACCACTGGGGTTGCACCGTTTCAAATGCTGTACGGACAAAGGCCAAGGGGTCCTCTCGCAGTGTTGAAGGAGTCTTGGACAGGGGAGCAGTATGTGGGTATTCAGCGATCAGCGGAGAAATATTTGCTGAAGTTAAAGAGTGAGTTAGAATGGGCTGCAGAAAAGGCAGGTGTGGTTGCGGGTAAAGCGCAGAGTTACTATGTGAGTCACTATAATCTCAGAGCAAAAGATAAAGCGTTTGTCCAGGGAGATAAAGTTTGGGTACAGGTGCCGGATTCCGGAAACAAGTTATACGCAAAATGGATGGGTCCGGGAGTGATTGTAAGTAAGTCAGGTAATTACTCCTACCTGGAACAGCCTTACCTGTACAGAGTACCCCAGGCTTTACGGGGTGAGGTAGATCGGCAGGTAGAAGGTCTGTTACAACTAGGACTGATTGAAACTTCATTCAGGGGTTCGAAGTTGAATGGGGTGTTGCTATCCTCCGGGCGTGGAGGGAGGTCACGTGATAACGTTGACGATGACGTTCAAAACAATAACCCTAACGGTAACTCTAACTACAAGACCTCCAACACTAACCCTACCACTAAATATATATATCTCGCAGCGCTATATATAGGCATTGTGATCCACAAAAATTAATCTATGGTGTGGGGACAGATATCATGATGCAAAAACCCTAACCCTAACCCTAACCGTTACCCAGTTGGGGTCATGTACGCATACATCCGGGTACCCTGGGTTTGGCGTGCGTACACTGACCCAGTGATGTCAGTGTACGCACGCCAGACCCAGGGTACCCCGATGGTACGCATACAGCCTGCTGATGGTTGCGCATGCATCAGACTTTTCGTATATATTAAAGAATGATGCAAAAACCCTAACCCTAACCCTAACCCTAATTAAATTTATTTAAAGACATTTTATTTAAAAAAAAGGAATGTAAAATTGTAAATAAAAATGTAAATATTTGCTGTGTAATGTAAAACATATAAAATGTATAACATATAACATGTAAATGTTATGTAAATGTATGTAAATACATGTAAATGTATAACATATAAAATATAAAACATATAAAATGTAAAATGGGGAAAAATAGTTAAATGAATAAAGATAGAAAAATAAAACAATAAAAAATGTAAACTGATGGGATTCGAACCAACGACCTACAGAGGTAACTGGTGCCGGCGTACGAGGCAGGATACTCAGCGTCTTTAGAAAATTTATTATTGATCAGTGATTGTGGCAGTGGTATCCTGAGTGAGGGAAGGGGGCGCTGCATGCAGTTTGGGTTGTTCTTAGGCCCAATCGGAAAACCCATTCGACTCTTCCCGTCATGCCTAGAAAACAGCGCTATTCTCTGAATGGTCCGAGGGTACCCGATTGGCTTGGGTAATGCTATCCCCCGGGCGTGGAGGGAGGTGACCGCAACGTGGCAGCACTAGTGTTAGAATAGTGTTAGGATTAGGATTAGGGTCAGGATTAGGGTTAAGGTTAGGGTTAGGGTTAGGGTTAGGGTTAGGATTAGGGTTAGGGTTAGGATTAGGGTTAGGGTTAGGGTTAGGGTTAGGGTTAGGGTTAGGGTTAGGGTTAGGGTTAGGATTAGGGTTAGGGTTAGGGTTTTTGCATCATGATATCTGTCCCCACACCATAGATTCATTTTTGTGGATAACACTGCCTATATATAGCGCGGCGACACATATATATATTTAGTGTGAAGGTTAGTGTTGGCGGTGTTGGAGTGAGGGTTAACGTTAGGGTTAACGTTTTGAACGTCATCGTCAACGTTATCACGTGACCTCCCTCCGCGCCCGGCGATTATTTTTTCCGTACCGTTAACGCGTCAGCGCTCGGGGAGCGTATTGGGAATGCTTGCGTCACAGCTCAACAGTCCCCCTAAACACTATGTACTCGACTACTCAACAAATAATTGAAATATGTGTTTACACAGGCCTTCTATCGCTAGCAAAGACCGTTTCTTGGAGCTAGTAGTGATACGCTTTGATACTTAACGAGACAAAGATGGCGGCGGTGGCGCCGATTTCGAAATAACGCATTGGGAAATAAATTCATGATTTGAGAGTTTAGATGAGCTAGAACCCTAACCCCAACCCTAACCCTAACCCTAACCTTGGCTTAACCCTAACCCTAACCCTAACCATGGCTTAACCCTAACCCTAACCCTAACCCTAACCCAGTATGCATTCCCAATACGCATAGCGAGCGCTGACGCGTTAACGGTACGGAAAAAATAATCGCGCCCGGCGAATAGCAACACCCGATTGTCTTAGGCCGTGACGGTGAGGCGCCACCTTGCGGGGGATGGATTGTTGAACATGTCTGCGTCTATGGTTTTGCAGCTCCAACACTCACCTTACGGTTATTATCTATTATTCCACGAGTAGAATCACATTAAGTTTTGTACAATGAATCGAGATTGTAAAGGCTGCAATTTTCCTCTCTATCTTAACAATAAGTTTGTGCATTTATTTATTTAGTACCTAGGGCTAGGCAGCAGTTAGTCCGAGCCGACGCAGACCCCAGTAATGGGCAGATAAACCCGCACCCTCAGATTAGCAAAGCGGAGTTTACGTCTGCATTTGCGGACTAGGCAGCAGGCTACAGCTAGCTTAGCTCTAGTAGTAGTAGTAGAGTATAGCCCGCGTTCGATTAACTGCCGCAGGGCTGTAGCACATTGTCAGCTGGAAATACCAACTGCAACCTGTTACCACCTGTCCCCATGAAAAATGGATCGCAAAACGCAAAGTTATCGGGCTTTTTAACACTTATTTATCTACATGGACATCTCACCTATCTTTTTGAACACTTTCAACAACTTTACACCATGTATAAATTTTTGTCCTTTTATTCCACAAAGTAAGCACTACTGGCACTACTGGCATTTCATTTTGAAACGAAGTGGCGTGCGCACGCGTGACGTCACCGGTATTGTATATATATACATGCCCCATAGTTGCCACCTGAGTTGGTCCTTAAGAGCTGACGTACTGCTATATCGTCCATAGGTGTTGGTAACAAATCTTGCAGATATGTTTTGTATCATTTCTAGCTTGTATTTATATTTCTCTTGGTGTGGGTCCCACACTGATTAGCAGTAATCCAGTCTTGGTAGTACAAGAGTTTTGTACGCTCGTTCCCTGATGCAGCCCAGATTCCGGCGCAGGAAGCCTATAACAATCTGTTGGCCTTCACACATAGATAACACGTACAGATAACAGTGGCGTAGCCAGGATTTTTTAACAGGGGGGGCCAAAAATGGCGAACGGTGCTAAATAGTGGATGACTTAATATTTTAATGGTTCCGCCGCTACCCTCTCCACACCCTATGCTCCCCCGCCTCTCAGCTCTGCAATCTTTGTTTTGGGCGCTGCGTAAAAAGTTGACATTTGTGTTTGTTGTTCTCTGCTCCCTAGATATGTAACTGTTGAGTGGCTAATCCAGGATTATGAGGAGGTGTGAAACACAGGCGGGGGGGGGGGATGGGGGTCCTCCCCCAGAAAATGTTGAAAATGTTGATCGCAGGAGATGGTATTTGAGGCACTTTTGAGTACATGTACAGCCTTCATTCTGATTACGATAATTCTCATTTTAGTAGAACAATTCTTTTTTTTTATTTTTTACTTTTGGATCAACAGGGTGGGCCATGGCCCCCATTGGCCCCCCTCCCCTAACTACGCCACTGACTGATAACATAGTTACCACCGAGCTGTGTATAATATCAGTTATTATTATATACAGCTGAGTGATAGTTACATACGACATCATAATAGTACATAGCTTTGGTAATGACTTGAACTGAGTATAGTGAGTTACATGAAGTGAGTAGGGCCTATATCTCACTAATAAATCGGAAACTGAATAAGTGTAGACAAATTGGGTCTCACCTATTTAGCAGCGAAAGCCCAGTTTCCTATGCCCAGCATGGCCATTATGAGCACTAAGTATCAAATAGTAATGTTACAGACAGTGTTTAGTGTTTTACCATTTGTGTTGACGATTATTAATTTTGAGTATTGTTTATGTGCAAAAAGCCATGTCACTAGATTGGTGCCAAAATAATACGGTTTTCGTTTTTAAAGCAAGGGTTTCAAACAGTCTTCCTGGCCTTTCTCATTTTTTTACCGACAACTACAGCACTTACTAGAATTTCTTGCGTAAATATGAAACTAAGAAACATCCTGATGCGATTTTAGTGCATATTGTGCTTAACCTGTGGGGAAAATTTTGCTTACACACTCTATGGTAATTGATAAATATCCAAAATACCATTTTTATGTAAAAATTCAAAATTTGTGTTGTCACATAATTAGGTACTGGAAATTTCATGAAATTTGTTGGCTGGAGCATAGAGATACATATACATCATCTATAAATAAAACGTGATTGGTTCAATTCATTAGTCAATAAATGTTTACCCTTTATTAGAGCAATACCCATGCAAAAATTTGAGTGTATCCTTAATCACGTTCTTCATTTTTAGAATTTCTTGCTGGAGCAGAGGTACTAAATAAGTGTCCAGGAAACATTATAAATGAAATTGTAAGTAAGCACAATAATAGTCAATACCGCAATGTGATTCCATTTAGGAACAGTGTGTAAAAAAGTAAGGGTTAACCATTTTGTGTGTTGTCATTTGTGAATACAGGCATGCACAAATGTGTAGTCAGTTGCACTAAATATTCCTACTGGTTTTTCTGTTTACAGTGCCAGGCAGTAATATCAGAGCTTCATGCACCTATTGATGAAGTCTGCGTAACAGCCATATGTCAAGTGAGAACTATGTTGTTATATTTAAAGGCAATACTAGGCCCATTGATTATGCAATGTTAACGAATGCTAGAGTAACTGGCAACTTGTGTATCACTGCTGGTTACTAAGAAATGTCTAATTGAAATCCGCAGTCCAAGAAATCAGTTGTTTACAGTATCAAACCGCTGCCGGCGAATCGGGTGTGATACAGATTTATAGTGCACCGGACAGTTTCGCACGCATGCTCGGCTGTACGCAATGCTATCATCAATGATTTCGTAAACACGGATGCTCGTGATAAGGTACTTTTTGTCAGGGCTGTCCATGTGCGTCCGTGATTAGTACGTGTGTTTTACTCCATTTCGATGTTTAGTCCGTGGCCGTGGTTACACCGCTGACACCTCCATTTCATCTGGCGTCCAAAACATACAGGCCGCACAAATGTTTACATCATTGCTTGACTCCTGGATGACATTTACGGCATGTAAATGAATATCAACAACCGATTTCAAGTCTTGCTTGTTGTATAGTTATGGGATATTGTCCATTTAGTTATATTAACGGAGAGAGAGAACTCTGACAGTTATCGTTATACTGTATTGACATTAGTTCCCTTTCATTTGTTTCAGCGTGTCGCTTACATTTTCTAGTGATATAAAACTTCATTCAGGAAACGAGTTCTTCTTTATGTAAGCAACACCTTCCTGCCTTCGCTATGGTAATAGTTGCCTGCCCCATCCTGGGATGTGAATACCAGACGGAAGACACCACTGAGGGTATCGCCATCGCCACATTGAATGTTCATGCACTGTCGCACCAACTCACGAAGACCGTCCGTCTGAAAGGTCCAAAACTCGAGCGCCCCCGCATCGACATGGGCGTGGAAACTGAGACGTGGAACACCTTCGTGCGCCGGTGGGAAGCATTTCGTCGTGGATCGGAGATCGACGACACTTCGGCACCTCGGCAGCTACTCCAGTGCGCGAGCGACGCTCTATCCGACGTCATCCTCAAATCAGACCCTTCCATCATGGCCAAATCCACCGAGGAGGTTCTAGCGGTAATGCGCGCGTTTACCGTCATCCCCGTCGCCACCGGCGTCCTTCGTGCCGAGCTGGTACGGATGCAACAGGGCGCAGACGAGCTCTTCCGCGCATTCGCGGCGTGCGTTCGTGGCAAAGCGGAAACGTGTGGCTTTAGAAGTAAATGTACGTGTGACTGCGGATCGACCATCGAGGACGACTACACAGACGAGATGATTCGTGACGTCCTCCTCGCCGGCATCACTGACATAGACATACGCCGTGAGGCGCTCGCCGCTGAGGATATTCAAAAGAAGGCTGTGAACGACGTCATTGCCCTCGTCGAGAGCAAGGAAATGGCACGAAATGCTCTTCCATCATCGTCGTCTCTCTCGGCTGTGTCCACATTCAGACGCGCCAACGCGCCGCCTAAAGTCGACCCGCAACCGGTTGCCGCCAAAGCGCCAGGAATCCGGCACCTGCCGGCTGACAGACAGCAGCATGCGCCGTGCCCTGATTGCGGCAAATCATTCTACCTGTTCACTGAGAACGCCTTCGGCTGGAACTCAAAACCCCACAGGCAGTGTATCGATTGCTTCCGTGCAAGCCGTCGGACGGGGCGCGGTAGAGGGCGTGCCACTGCACCTGCAGCAGAGGCAAATGCACTGGCAGCAACACCCTCGTCCTTGGTCGCTCAAGTCTCGGCAGGCACTGCACCTGGCAACGGATCCCCGTCACCGCAACGACGTCGCTGCCGCCACCGCAGAAAACCCGAGGTTGTTCTCCTGGAACATCATATATTCCGTGCTGGTGAATGGCGTCGTGCCCGCCTAGCAGATCACCCACGCGTCGAGGTTGCCATCTCCATGGAAAAGCATGGGTGCAGTGGACCCTCGTCCCACCGCAAAAGTGTTGCAAGAGCCATCACAGACACCGGGGCGCAGTCAAACTTGTGGTCACTCCACTCGTACCTGGATGCCGGCTTCTCCCAAAGCGACCTCTTGCCAGTGAAGCTTGGGCTCAACGCTGCTAACTCCTTGCCAATCTCCATTGACGGAGCGTTTTTCGCCTGCCTACAGGGCCGAGCACCAGATGGCACCGATATCACCGCTCGCTCCATGGTATACGTCAGCCAAGATGTATATGATCACTATCTATCCTACGAGACCATGCTGGATCTAGAAATCATTAACAGGAGCTTTCCGTCAGTTGGTGGCGCTCGGTCAGGCTCAGGGGATGCGCAATCTGCGGCAATGTCTCCCTCTATCAACCCAACCTGTGCCCTCAACGCTGGCTGCAGTGCACAACACGATGAGAGCATCACATGCAGTTTCTCTCAGCGCAGTGCGGTACCTCAACGCTCGGCAACCTTATCGTTCCCCTGCAAACCAGAGGACAACGAGAAGATGAAGCAATGGCTTCTCGACCGCTACGCTGCATCAACTTTCAACACATGTCCTCATCGACCACTCCCGTGCATGGCCGGCCCACCAGTGGAGATTCACCTCGAATCCGACGCACAACCACGCATGTGTCACACGGCCGCACCAGTGCCGTTGCACTGGCAGCAAAGAGTGTACGAGGACCTGATAAGGGATGAGGCCTTGGGCGTGATTGAGAAGGTCCCGTATGGTGAACCAGTCACCTGGTGCCATCGCATGGTGGTCACGCGCAAGCATGACGGAACCCCACGGCGCACTGTGGACCTCTCCCCCTCAATAAGCACTGTAAACGGGAGACCTTCGCGTCAGAATCGCCTTTCCACCTCGCTCGGCGTATCCCACGGCAGACCTGGAAGACCGTCACTGACGCCTGGAACGGCTACCACTCTGTGCCTCTTCGCGAGTCGGACCGTCATCTGACAACCTTTATCACGCCGTTTGGACGGTGGCGCTATACTCGGGCACCCCGGGGTTTCTTATCGTCCAGTGATGGCTACAACCGTCGATTCGATGCCATCCTCTCCGACTTTGAGCGGAAGAAACGTTGTGTCGATGACACAATCCACTATGACGCCGACCTCGAGACACTGGTGAAGGACCATAGACCTCCTTGCGACACTCGGTGCCGCCGGTGTCATCTTGAACCCAGACAAGTTCCAGTTTGCCGGGTGGGAGGCTGACTTTGCTGGCTTTCACATTTCGGATGACTCAATTGAACCGCTACCCAAATACCTGGATGCCATTCGCCACTTCCCGACGCCGACCTCGACGACTAACATCCGCAGCTGGTTTGGCCTTGTCAACCAGGTCGGCAACTACGCACAGCTTCGAGATGTCATGGCGCTATTCAAACCCTTCCTGAGCCCGAAACAGAAATTCTACTGAACGCCTGAGTTGGATGCGGCCTTCACCGCCTCAAAGGGAGCAATCGTACAGGCGATACGAAGTGGTGTTGAGATTTTCGACACTGGGAAGCGCACTTGCCTCCGCCCTGACTGGTCCACTCGAGGGATCGGATATTTCCTGCTCCAGCAACACTGCATGTGCACATCAGGGCTGCCGGACTGCTGCATAGACGGATGGCGAATTACGCTGGCAGGGTCGCGCTTCCTGTCCTCTTGTGAGCAACGGTACGCACCCATCGAGGGCGAGGCACTGGCTGTTGCCTGGGGTCTTGAGCAGACCCGCTACTTCACCCAGGTGTGCGACGACCTGGTCGTGGTGACGGACCACAAACCCTTGGTCAAAATCCTGGGAGACCGAACCCTCTTCCGACTGAAGCAGAGAACCCTCCCTTGGCACTTCCGTATCGCCCACCTACCTGGCAAGACGAACTTCGCTGCCGACGCGACATCTCGTCATCCATCCCCATCCAGCGAGATGGCAAGTATCGGTGTAGGAGACATTGTTGAGCCAGCGATCTCAGCGGCAATCAGACGTGAAACTGAGGAACTGTCCTCTATCTCTTGGCAGCACATTGCCATAGAGTCCGAGAAAGACGATTCTATATCCGCCCTTTGCCGTGCAATTGAGAATGGATTCCAGGAGAGTGACCGCCTTCTCCCACATGTTGCGCCCTATTGGTAATATCGTGATGGCCTCTACGTCCTAGACGACGTCGTTGTGTATGAGGATCGTGTTGTGGTGCCGCCATCACTCCGCCGTTCCGTGCTGGAGAACTTGCATGCAGCTCACCAGGGCGTGTCGTCCATGGAACTTCGCGCACGAGCCATGATCTTCTGGCCTGGCATCACTGCCGATATTCACAAAATCTGTGCGGAATTCTATGAGTGCAACAAGAATGCTCCTTCCCAAGCACCTCTTCCGTCCACGCCGGCAACACCACCATCCACACCGTTTGAAGCTGTGTTTGCAGATTTCCTCGATTTCGGTGGGCACCATTACCTCGTGGTGGGAGACGGCCTCTCTGGATGGGTCGAGATTTTTGCGTCCCCGGTGGGATCGCCATGGGCAGGAGCTATGGGCCTCATTGCAAGTCTTCGCGCATTCTTTGCGACATTTGGGGTGCCGGAGGAGTTATCCAGCGACGGAGGGCCAGAATTCACCGCCAGGGCCACTCGCGACTTCCTCTACCGCTGGGGCATCAGCCACCAAGTCTCATCCGCTCACCACCCTTAGTCAAATGGGCGGGCGGAAGTGGCCGTGAAGTCAGCAAAGCGTCTCCTACGGTCAAATGTTGGTCCGACAGGCGTGTTAGAAAATGACAGGTTGCTACGTGCGCTGCTGCAGCTCCGCAACACCCCAGATCAGGACTGCAACGTTTCACCAGCCCAGATCGTCTTTGGGAAACAGCTGCGTGCAGGGCTCGAATTAACCGACGGCACCGACGGCAATTGCCGTACTGCCCCTGGAAATCCAACCCGACCGACGGCAGTCACCTGCCTTGCCCTATTGTGTAATTGCCGTCGGTGCCCTTTAATCTACTGCCCTAGTTTCGTTTTTAGTCTAGTCAACATAACACGTGCGCGTGT